ATCATTGAAGCCCTCTGACTTTCACTTTCCTAAAATAAGGATAATAAGATTTTTAGTTTCTATCCTACAGTGTGGTCAGAATTAAATGCAATAATAGGTAAAAAAGGTTTTACGAACATTAAAGTACTACACCAAAGTTATTATGATGAATCAACATCCTCCACACAAAGCTGATGTAAAGAAAGTACTGGTTATCCTTAAAATGTAAGTCATTATAATTAAAGGAAAAGGCAACTTTTTTTTTTCTTTTTAGGCTACGCGATGGGGTTAAGTGACTTTCTGAGTGTCACCCAGCTAGTAAGTGTCTAGTGTCTGAGGCCGTATTTGAACTCAGGTCCTCCTGAGTGCAGGGCTCAGAAGAGAGAATAGGGCTGCATATATAGATTTTAGGGTCAACTTCATAGAGTTGAAAATTGAAACCTTGAGAGATGAGGTCACCAAATCGAAGTATAGACAGAAAAAGAGAAGCAGGGCTAAGGACAATGCTATAGGGAATACGCACAGTTAATAGGAGCAACATGGATGGTGACTGAATAAAGGAGACTGAGAAACAACAGATCAGACAGGTAAGAGGAGAACCGAGAGAGCTCAGTGTTCGCAAAAACTAGAGATGAGAGTATCCAAGAAGAGAAAGTAGTCAACAGTTTCAAATGTTGCAGAGAAGGATCAGGTTTGAGAAATGGTGATTAGGGAGATTAAAATAGATTTGGCAATTATGAAATTATTAGCAACTTTACAGGGGAAAAATTCATTTTATACAAGGCATACCTTGACCTGCCCTCCCCCTCAAATTATTTTGTGCGTCATTTTTATTTATCTGGTTTTTTGTTGTTGTTTTTCCTTCCCTCTAAATAAAATGTAAGCTCCTTGGAGGCAAGGACTATTCACTGCAGTTGTAGTTTGGTGCTGCTGGTGGTGGTGGTGGTGATTTTATGACCCCAGTGGCTAGGAAAGTGACTGGCAGTTGGTGTGTGCCTGATAAATGCTTGTTGAATGGATAAATTAAAAATCACTTAACCTCTCAGAGTTTTAATTTTCCTTTTAAAATAGATATAAAATAATATTTGCAGTACTTACCTCACAGGGTTATTATAAGAAAACTCCTAAATATTATGTAAATATCAGAAATCCAATATGCATTTGTTAATTGGCTGATTCGTTGAAGGCCTAGTTCAATGTCAGCATAAGGACAAAGTGTACATTACTTTTCTATAACTAGAGAAATGGTTTCCCAAATCTTCAAAGAAATGAAACATTTTAAGCACAGAATATCATTTTTATAAAAGTATTTTCATGATAGGATCTCTGTGAGTCTTGAAGGGTCAGAAGACAAATTAGTATTTTGTACATTTTACCCAATAATGCACCATTATCATTAGCCCTTGGCCTCTACTCTTCTCGAATGGACAACTTAAATGTTATGTCATGGCCCTTGCTCCTGGCAAGATTCAGTGAGATAAGTTAGAAGCTGGTGAACATGCCAGTAAGTACGTTTAAGTTCAGAACATGAGTGATACGATGGAGATTTCTTAGAAGATCAACACTGTCCTCAGATTCCATAAACTGTTTAAATGTCTTATATGAGTACCTGGCATATAAATATGTTTTTTCCTACTTTTAGAAATATATTCCTTTGGGGCAGCTAGGTGGCGCAGTGGATAGAGCACCGGGCCTGGATTCAGGAGGACCTGAGTTCAAATCTGACCTCAGACACATAACACTTACTAGCTGTGTGATCCTGGGCAAGTCACTTAACCCCATTGCCTAGCCAAAAAAAAGAAAAAGAAAAAAAAAGAAAGGAATATTTTCCTTTGAAAAGGTTGCCTCTAGAGAAAACCTCTTTAAAACAAAGATTTGATGTCAGGTTGATTTGGAAATGCAACTCAGTCTTATGGACATAATGTATGACTTTGACATGGATCCTTACTCTCTCTGTTTCTGATTCCTGACCAACCAACTAAAGAGCTTTGCAGGAATGTAACAAATAAGTAAAGAATTATAGTTTTATTAACTATTTAAGGAATAATTGTCTAAGAAATAAGGCTACAGGATAAAAAAGAGATATAATTACTATGGGACCATTTTAATTTTAGTTAAATTTATTTGTTTAAAGAAAAAGTTATCACTGGCCCTGCACTCAGGAGGACCTGAGTTCAAATCCAGCCTCAGACACTAGACACTTACTAGCTGGGTGACACTCGGCAAGTCACTTAACCCCATCGCGCAGCCTAAAAAGAAAAAAAAAGGTGCCTTTTCCTTTAATTATAATGACTTACATTTTAAGGATAACCAGTACTTTCTTTACATCGCTTTGTGGGGAGGATGCCGATTCATCATAATAACTTTGGTGTAGTACTTTAATGTTTGTAAAACCCTTTTTACATATTATTGCATTTAATTCTGACAACACTGTGAGATAGACCCTAAAAATCTTATTATCCTTATTTTAGGAAAGTGAAAGTCAGAGGGGTTCAATGATATGTCCAAGTCATACAAATAGTAAACATCAGAGGCAAATCTTCCTAACTCCAGAGAGTCATTCCATAAACACTTAGTATATCCTATGTGCCAAGCAATTCAACCTCGACACTATGCTTAAAGACTGAATGAATTTTGTTTTTACTTTTTATCAATTTTTAAAAATAATATTAGTTTCTAATTCAAAGCATAGTATAATAAGTATATAGGATTAACGGTAGTTGAGAGGGTTAATAATACCCTTAAACCACTGCGCAGAGGTTAGGTTGTGCTCAAAGTAAATCTTTTTTTCTAACAGGGATCATTTCAGGTAGCTTAGTAAGGAAATTCCTAGCTATGATAGTGACTATGGAACATACTCCATAGGGAATGCAGGGTTAAATACATTGCTCTTTAACATAGTGTCTATAAACTTTCAGTCATGCGATCATTTCTAAAATAGACATTAACTTTTCAAAATAATAGAATTTGAGGCTTTTTGCCATATCGTCTCTTGAGAAACTGAAAAAAAAAAAACTGAACTGAAAGAGTTCCATTGCCATAGCTTTCAATCTGCTAGCATATGCTGGAAATCAATGCAAAAGTATTTTTAAAAGAGAGGCAAACACATTTATATGGGACTTAACTACAAATGAGAACAAGTGAGAAGAATGGGAAGAACAACTAAAAGAACTACTTCCAATAATGGAAATCCAAATAAAAGGCTAGCTCTGCAAGCGCTCCAACTCCTGACTCAAGGAAAATATAATTGTTTACATGAATAAATCATGCTGAAAAGTACTGACAGTACATTGGATAAATGGGAAAATTGATACCAGCACATAAAACTATCAAATATAATAATGAAAACTTATCATCTATCTAAAAATAAATAATATTCAAGCAGTCATTAGAATTATTAAACATTCTAGACTTAGTGGGTAATTTATAGTCATTTTAACTGTTATGAATACCACACTTGCTTTTCAAAGGGCACACTACACTACCCATCATTTAAATGACCAAAGGAAAGCCTGCCATTTATTAAGCATTGTGGTTCTTTGCATATTCAAGATATATACAATCTTTCGTTTATAGAGAGAATAGTCCTATTACAATGAATTTATATATTATAAATTATATATCAGTAATTACATAGTTATAATTTATTAATTATAATTCATTATTGATTTAATATAAATATACAAATTAATATCTAATTATATTTGTATGTAATTATAATTACATATAATTATAAGTCTAATTTATAATTATAAACTTAAATTATAATCTTGGAAAGGACCATGCAGTCTAGTAGACAGACTGAATCATGATTTGGTGGAAAGTGTTCTAGATTGTAGTCAGAGGATCTGGTTTTGAATTTTTGATAGTGCTACTTATTGCCTGTATGGCCTAGGTCACTTAACTGGTGGGCCTCAGTTCCTGATCAGTTAAACAAGGGAGGTGGATTAAATGGCCTCTAAGATCTCTTTCAGGTCTAGGTCTATGACATGCTATGAATCTTTCATTTTACAGGTGAGGGAATGGAGGCTTCCAAAGGGGAAGGAACTTGCTCAAGTCCCCCATGGATGGGCAAAGGTGGAGCTGGGACAGCTACCTTGACTTCCCTTCCATTGCTCGTTGTTCTAGTGGAGCCAATACAATCCTGACCGGTGTGATTCAGATATATTTCTTGACAATATATTCATGACACTAAACTTTATCAACTACATTTTAATCTAAAAGTTGTAGAAGGAAGCAATGGAAAGAGCATTAGATTTAGAATCGGAAGAACCAAGTTTAAACTCTACCAAATACGACCCGTGTGATCTAGGGCAAGACACTGCTGGGCCTCAGTTTCTTCGTCTTTAAAATGGAAGGTTTAGACTTGCTGGCCTCTTGAGATCTCTTCACATTTTTTAATTGAGACTTTTTTTTTCTTCTTGGGAATTTAATACATAGTAATACCTCTAATTGTCATATTTCTTTACTTAAACATAAAAGCCTGATACAGTTCCTTGATGGTGGTGCAATGGATATAGTACCAGGCCTGGAGTCAGGAAGACCTGAATTCAAATCTGGCTTTGGACAGTTACTAGCTGTGTGACCCTGAGCAAGTCACTTAACCCTGTTTGCCTCAGTTTCCTCAATTATAAAATGAGCTAGAGAAAGAAACGGCAAACTACTCCAGTATCTTTGTCAAGAAAACCTCAAATGGGGTCACGGAGAGTAAGACATGACTGAAAAACAATTGAACATCAACAGTGACCTAATATTTATCTTTTTCCTTCTGTATTCCTTCCTCAACTTTCATTCTTTTTTTTTTTTAGACAATTGGGGTTAAGTGATTTACCCAGGGTCACACAGCTAGTAAGTGTCAAGTGTTTGGTCTGAGACTGGATTTGAACTCAGGTCCTCCTCACTTTAGGGCCAATGCTCTAGCCACTGTGCCACCTAGCTGTCCCAACTTCCACTCTTTCTGAAGCCTGCAATGCTTCCTTTCCTTTGACAAACTTTCCACATTAACATCTTTTGTTTTACAGAGTATCAAAGTGAGTTGGCTACCTCCACCACCAGGTACACAAAATGGATTTATTACTGGTTATAAAATCCGACATAGAAAGACAACCCGCCGAGGTGAGATGGAAACACTAGAGCCAAACAACCTCTGGTACTTGTTCACAGGTCAGTGTTTACATAGTGTCTTCTTGAAAGATTTGGATGAATTAAATGCTTTGGGAATATAATAAACTTTCATTTTAAGGGAATATTGACAGCTTACCGATAGGGTGAATTTATTGGCCTGAACAAACACAGTCTTTTTATTTTTAACTTTATTGTCTACATTATGCTGTCATTGCAGATTTTGCTTCAGAATTTATCTTAATTAATCATAGAACTTTGGTATTTTGCAAGTTTAATCTGTATTAATTTATCTATTTTTCTAACTTGATTCAATTTAATCCAATTCAATTAAATACCTACTACGCACAGATATGGCTTCTTAAAATTTCAAAGCTCATTTTATATGTCATCTACTAAGAAAAGCCATCCATGATCATCTATTTGTTAATGACCTCTTCCCTTTTCAAATTATTATCTCTGTGTTTATCTGTCTGCATCTATATCTATTAATATAGTGACTGAAAACCATAGTTCATGAGCCCCCACTGATGCATTTACTTCGTAGTCAGCCAGAAGATATAATTAGTTCAAAGTGAAGGCAAGAATGTCAAAATAGAACATTCCCATAATGAAACAGTATATATTCTTTTACAATTATTTGTACCAGAAGTGAGGAGAAAAGCCACCTGGGAAGGGCATCTATGTAGGGAATATCTGTGGCTAAGGCACACATGTTGAGAAGCCGTTGATGATTCTGACATGGCAGGACCACACATGTGGTATCACACAATGATATCACAGCATTGTTTTTTCAGTAGGCTTACTTCATAATGAGTGTGGCATTGCCACTGTGTGATGCTGTTGAATGAGTGTTCTGCTGGTTCTCAAGACTCCTGCTGGCTCCTGGGCACATTATCTCAGCTGGTAATAGTGTACTGATCTCTGATTTCTTCAGGTCTCTTTGCCATCCCCTCCAAATCCACCCCTCCCATCTGGGTTAGCTGCAGTCAGCCAACTTAGTATAACATAATATGTATCAGCCAGGATAGTAGTTAGGCCCTCTCCCAGATAAAAGCAGGCTGACACTTCCTAGTAATAGACACCATGCCCAGGCAGAGCACTCTTAAATTTAAATTAATTTTTCCCACAATTGGGATTAAGATTGAAGGCAGCTATCACTAGGCGGCAGGAAGGGATTTGTTGCTTGGAACACTGGACCCGGAGTCAGTGAGACCTGAGTTTGAATTCTTAGGAATTCACTTTTAGGAATTTACTTTTTGTAAAGTAAATCAGAAATCTCTTAAGTCTGCTTTCTCATCTGTTAAAAAAGGGGATAGGACATGATGGCCTCTAAGATCCCTTCTGTCTTAAAATGTAGAGTCCCATAATAAATTTTCCATGAACTAATTAAAATGACTAGGAACCTGCACTGAAATAATATTCACAAATTCAAGCATTGGCTCCCAACAACTAAGCTACTTGGGCTTCCACATAATCACATTAACAACATTTTCTCAGCAACACTTTGATCATTTTTTGTCCCCAAACTCCATTCACAATCTACTTCATCACAAATACCCTGGGGCTTGCTTCCATTCCACCCTGACTTTGTAGGTTACCACTACCAGAGTAATGTCCTAACGTCTTTTTATAGATGTGTTTGGCCAGAGAAGTAAGATTGATTATTTGGGGTATATATGCATAATACTGTGGCTTTCCTGAACCACAGAGGTCTGTTCTTCCCTGGGGTTCTAATCCACAAAGGTAAAAGTTCAGCTAGAACATGATTATGGAGGTCATTTAAATGTTAGACCAATGAGCTTGTATTTTATTATGTTATCCTATAGGCAAAAGAGAACTGATGGAGATTTTTGAGTAGAGTGACATGGTCTTTTCTGTATACTCAGCAGATTATTTTGGCAGTGATGTGAAAGATGAATGAGAGAAGGGAGAAATCGGAAGCAAGGAGCTCGCCACGTTAGAGGTGAAGAGTATCTAAAGTGGCAGCAGGATGAACAGAGATTAGAGAAAGTATATACTTTCTAAGGAGAAGCTAGGTGGTACAGCGGGTAGAGTGCTGGGCTCACCTCAAACCCTTTCTACAGTCTTTGTGACTGTGGGCAAGTCACTTAACCCTCTTTGCCTCAGTGCTTGCATCTGTAAAATGAGCTGAAGAAGGAAATGGCGAACCACTCCAGTATCTTTGTGAAGAAAACCCCAAATGGAGTCATGAAGAGTCAGACACAACTGAAAGGACTGAACAACATAGTCTCTAGAGATATTGTCATTTACTACAGAACAGACAGGAATTTGCCAATGACTGATATCTGCTCTGAGGGACGGAGAAGAGTCAAGGATGACCCTAAGTCTTCATTAACTATATAAATCACTCTTTCTGCTTAATGGAAATTTTATCTTAATAGAAGATAAAAGTTAGCCACTTCTTAGTCACTCCTTTGGTTTTTTGGGAGTTTGAGTTTTAGAAGAGGGCAGATAAGTAGCACGGTGATAGAGCACTGGACCTGGAGACAGGAAAAACTGAGTTCAAATTTGTCCTCAGACATTTTTAGCTGTAGAACACTTGGGCAAGTCATTTAATCTGTATCTGCCTTAGTTTCTTCATCCATAAAATTGAAAAATAATAGCACCTGCATGCCAGGTTTGATGTAAGGATAAAATGAGGTAATGTTGTGAAGTATTCTGTAATTCTTGTTTTTCTTTCTGTTTTTTGCTGAGGCAGTTGGGGTTAAGTGACGTGCTGAGTGTCACCCAGCTAGTAAGTGTCTAGTGTCTGAGGCCGGATTTGAACTCAGGTCCACCTGAGTGCAGGGCCAGTGATAACTTTTTCTTTAAACAAATAAATTTAACTAAAATTAAAATGGTCCCATAGTAATTATATCCCTTTTTTATTCTGTAGCCTTATTTCTTAAATAATTATTCCTTAAATAGTTAATAAAACTATAATTCTTTACTTATTCGTTACATTCCTGCAAAGCTCTTTAGTTGGTTAGTCAGGAATTGGAAACAGAGAGAGTAAGGATCCATGTCAAAGTCATACATTATGTCCATAAGACTGAGTTGCATTTCCAAATCAACCTGACATCAAATCTTTGTTTTAAAGAGGTTTTCTCTAGAGGCAACCTTTTCCTTCCTTTCTTTTTTTTTCTTTTTCTTTTTTTTGGCTAGGCAGTGGGGTTAAGTGACTTGCCCAGGATCACACAGCTAGTCAGTGTTATGTGTCTGAGGTCAGGTTTGAACTCAGGTCTTCCTGCCTCCAGGGTCAGTGCTCTATCCACTGCACCCTAGGTTCCCCTGTATTCCATAATTTTTAAAGTGCTAAATGAATGTTAGCAATGATGACGATGATATTAAAGGTCATAAAAATACAATAAATTTAACTTCAGTATGAATTCTGTACCAATGAGAGGCAGCATGATGTAGTGATGAGGTTCTTAACTGTGTGTGTATGTGAGTGTGTGTATGCTGAATCCGTTTGTCAGTCTAATGAAGCCTGTAGACAACTTCTCAGAAGAGTGGTGTTACACGTGTGAAGTAGAATACCTTGGATTACAAAGGAAACCAAACAGTGAAAATAAAGCGGTATTTTTCCCCATTCAGGTTCCCAGACCCTCTGACCCCTTAGGTCACCCTCAGTTAAGCACCCCTGTGTTCCAGTGTTCATAACCTTATTACCTGAGCTCAGTTCCTGCTTCCGACGCTTCCTGGCTGTGTAACTGGGCATTTCACTGAATGTCAGGTGTCCCTAAGTACTTCCTAATATTATAAGTGGCAGAGCAATAGATGATCTGCATTTTCATGATTTCCTCATCTGAAAGCTCCACACAGAGAGTTCTGAAGGATACTGAAATTAAGTACCATAAATATAAAATTGATTTCATCCCATTGTGAACACTGTACAAATGAGAGGCCTTACCGTGGTTCTTAACCCCCTATGAATATGTGTATGCCTCAAATCCTGTATTCTTTCTGTTTGTGTTTTTTTTTGGGGGGGGCAATTGGGGTTAAGTGACTTGCCCAGGGTCACACAGCTAGTAAGTGTGAAGTATTTGGTCTGAAGCTGGATTTGAAGTCAGGTCCTCCTGACTTCAGGGCTGGTTCTCTATCCAGTGTGCCACCTAGCTGCCCCCCTGTACTCTTTCTGAAGGACTGCAAATACATATCGATGTGCCCTCAAATCCTGTAATTCCCCAGTCCTTCAATATACTAAATGCCCACGACCTACTTTTCTAATCTACCTCACTATTCAAAGTGATTATCCTAACTTTGATTTTGCCATCATTCACCAGTGTTACACATCTAAGTGAACTCTAAAACTCCATCTGCTCATAATCTTGGAGTCTCATTTCACCCCTTCTCATGCAGTACTGTTCTTAAACCTACTTTTTGCCATCACTATGCCTCTCAGTATTTCCATACTCTAGTGATGAAATAACTGTGCACTCTTGCTTTTCCAGGCTTGACCCTTTTTGAACTCGCTCAACTGCAACCTATTCTGTACTCTCCTGTCCTTCATTCCCTTATCCTATGACTACCCATGTCTTACCATGCCCCAATCCTGAACTGCTCTCATCATCCACCTTCCTTACTCCTACTGATGTGTGGACAAATGGAACATGAAGTGTCGTGTGTACTACACGTGTGTTATCTTCAACACTAGAGGGGAATCCTAAGCATCCTAGTCCTTGCTTTTTTGATTCCCTGTCCCACTCTGTACAAGCTCTTCCAAATGTCTTTGTTCTTCGAGACTCCAACTACACTTCCTCTTTCCATCCTTTCAGATGGGCTCAAGAAGCCATTTGCTGTGAGCTTCCCTTTCATTATTTCTCCTTGCCTCACTCCACACACAGATACCATCATCCATTCTATCCTAATTTCTACTGTTTCCTCTGATGAAGAGGTGACTCCTCTCCTTACCAAAACCAGCATAACTGTATGTATCCATGATATATTCCAGGAGATTAAACCCCACTATCGTCTCCTCTTTTTTTCCTGTCTCTCTTGCCAAAAAACACACTCAAGTCTCCTTATCTTTAACAAAA